GAACGTTTCGATCTATTCAATCGTATACATCCTCCTATCAACATCACAACTGGATCTCGTACGTACAACGGTTATGGTAAATGCAATTATGCCAAATGTAAGAGGAATTTAATATTTGAGACACAGGTGGAGTATTGGGGCATTTTTTAAAACAAGACGTAAGAATTATAGAAAGATATGAAGAAGAAAAGAAAGGTCGAATGAAGGTGTAGGGAGCTAAAAATCCAAAAATTTAAAAAACAAAGCAGGCAAAATTCATGAAATGCAAGTTGCATCTCTCATCGCTGATGTCAGAATACTTGTCTAATATACAAAAGAGTTACGAATTTCAATTCAGAAATGAAAATTCCAGAAACAGGAAATCATTTTCAGGATTTTGCACAGGAATGTATCTTTCTAGTTTTTTTTAAAAAAATTTGTGCTCGAATTTTTTAGCATCTCGATTTGGCGCTATGTTGGATATGTTAACGGATCGTTGTGCATTGTTGGCACTGGTTATGTATTGTGGACATCTATATCCCAGTTACATGTTCTTTTTTCAAATGTCAGCAGTGATTGATATCGCCTCGCATTGGCTTCATTTTCACGTCACATACCTGATGGGCAAAACGTCACATAAGGTTAATCAGACTTAATTAGGAATAATATGCAGATTTGTTTTTCTCCATTCATGTTATTCCCCAAAATGCGTTGCATAGCATACATTTCCTTTTTTTTTTGGTGCACAGTTGCTCTGCATTATCAACCGCTAATCAGGCTGACTAATACCGGTCGGTACTACTCAAGTTTGGCCGAACAAAACACGGTGCAGTGTCTTCTCGAAATGTTTGGAACTGCTACCTTTGTGCCAAGTACATACCTTAACCTACTGCCATTCCAATACTACAAAAGGGTACCTGGGCCAGGCTCTTCTAGGAGAACAATCCACATAATTACTTGAAGACATAAGCAGCTGTATGTCATCGATGTTCGTTGTCACGCCATCCATGCAGCTGGTAACATAATTTTGACAAAACAAAAACATTAACTGAACAGGCAAGTGATGGGTACGAAATGGAGTAGGCAGTCCAGGATCAAAAGGCCTGGCGCAGATGTGCCAGCAGTGTGGGAGCATCGCAGTAATATCACTAACATGGGATACACACACTGATAACTAAGGCGGTGCTGCTTATCTTGGTAAAATAGATCAAAAATTAAGATGAATCAATATTGCAGCAATCCACGAATCCACTATTGCATCTGTATTACACGTCGCAGGCATTTCTGTTCGGAATGTGTTTTGGCAATGAAGCATTCTATGGCTTGATGTACGTGAACCATTTCTGGCCTGGTCCAGGCATTCATGGCTTTCATTTCATTGCAGTCCTTGCGGCGCTAATGTTCCCAGTCGCAGTTTTGAAAGCAATCATCAGCCTAGTGCACTTGTGCACCGCTGCACAGTCTCTCGTTGCAAAAGATCGAGAATCGGTTAAGCGCGCCGAATGAAGCCAACTACTGATGATAATTTGTCCAGTGTTTTATGTTTCGGCAACGTCACATCGATATGTTTCTGTTTTTTTTTTTTCCGAAACATCTGGTTACCGAATTTTACATTCCGAAAAACTAAGACTGTAGCACCTCAAAGGCCACGAAAGCAAACCGTGAATCTCAAATCAAAATCTTACAATTTTCGGCTGGAAATCAAAAATTGATACTGAATCCTTTGTCAAACTGATTGCGAGGTTTCATTAAGTCAGAAAAGCAGAGCCTTGCGGCCTCGGCCTTGCGTTTGACACTGTTCAGGCTGCAAACCTGAAATTTTCAAACTTTTCCAGAATTTCAACCACTAATTTTGCAAAATAAAGTTCCGAAAAAATTGCTGTATTCTACTTTCACTGCGAGTTAGAGGCATTTGAAAATATCAGTCCAGGCGGTAGCGCTCTTCTGGCAGCATCTACTCGTGCCAGGCCAGAAGAATAATACCCGTTCTCCCTCACAGGAGTAATTTCTTTGTGGAAAATGGCAGAAATAATACCGCAGCTGGCAAAAAAGAATTGATAAGCGACAAGAAAACGGGAAGACTGAGATATTGTGCTTGTCCAGAACCATTAATAGTGCAGCGAATGAGATAATTATTCGTTCCGGAATGTTTTTAGTCTCAAAAATCGCTCACTTCAAAAATTTTACTTTTTCAACGTTCACTTGAAATAAATCAAAACTTACCGATGGGCATTCTTCAGTGGAAAGTACCACTGTTGTTGTGCAGTAGGTCGGAATTTCAGTTGTAAAACCAGTCCCTCTACGACTCGTTCATTTGATTTCAAAGTAATTGATATTGGTGCACGCCACAGTTACTTCCTTAGCTTGCTAGGAAGAAGGAACCATCCATAGCGTAACACGTGCATGATACCAGCGGCAATTGCTATTTTACTCGAGCAGATTCCGAGAGTCGTAGCCTCTCAGGGTAAGTAAATTGATTTTGGCTCAATCTGCATTTATTTTTCTTCACTCATGTCGCCAGTAACATCGATTGTCCGAATGGTCTTGGTATAGTTTGACAGTACGCGAAGGGGCTACTCGATGGCACTAATTTCACAGCATCATCGATGAGCTCAAAGTGTCATTCCTGAAGAAGCTTGAGATTTCCACGCCTACGGCCCGAATGGTCTTGATCTCGGTATTTTTTGATGTTTTGCGTTTTTTTAAAATTTTTTTATTCATATCGTACCATATTCGTAGTCTTGTAGTGTAGATTCTGTGTTTTTGTATTTAATGTTTTTCTGGATGATCAGAACACTCACTGGTCCGGTTCGTACCGCCCAAGTTAATTCTGACACAATGCGGCATTGGTGTGCCTGGCAAAGACAGGCATTATAACGTGGAAGATATAAAAATTTGCAGGTGATGGGATTCTCCTTGTTTGAATTCGGAACCAAATTTGCTGTGCGGGACACAAGAGGTCATCAAGGCAGGTATCATGGAGCCAAAATCCGGCACGTAAGGGAAAACCCAGTAGCACCACTAAAACTGGATTGCCATACTGATCATCCGGGGGAGTCTTCGTGTTTTTTCATTACGTGCATTTGTGTAGATCTCTACCTGCTAGTAGTTATTAATTATTTGTCAACGGGAATTTGTAAATAATAAATTGAATTACACATATGAGCAGATATCGGAATGAAGGAAAAAACGATAATTTCTTGATTACTGTAGAATTCAACAACACCTGGAGGGGGAGGAGCGGAGTGCGGGAGGGGGGTTCCTTGTCATATGCTAAGTCAACAGAGTTCCGTCCAAGGAACATGCTTCGAAGTGATGACTTCGGAGCCCACCAAATTATAAATTCAAAAATTTCGTAGTGCACCGAGAGCTACACGAAATTATGCAGATGAGAGCATCCTAAAATAGAGAAGTAGGAAAGCAACTGTCAGCTGCATCAGTGACGAAAAAAGCATCGATGAAACAACTAATGAAAATGAAAAACTAATATTAAAGTATCGAAATAATAAAACTCTGCGATTTTCGATTTTGCAGGAATTAACATTTAACTTTTATTTCGATCAGACTTTCGGAACAAATTCTTCTGTTCATAAAAGAAAAA